GCCCTTGTTCTTGCAATTTTGCACACGCTAGGCCCTTGTTCTTTTTATTTTGCACACGCTAGGCCCTTCCGAACTTATAGCTTACTTGTTTCTGTAGGCTATAGTGGGGTATCCCATAGGGGGTACAACCCAATTAGGGTTTCCTATTTGTACTCACTTCGTTCATCGTCATTCCATTCTCGTTCTTTGTTTCCACATGGAATCAGAGCAGGTTCCCCTCCTAGGACTGCTTCTAGGGCCACCGAACCGCGCCCCGTAGGCGCGTTTTTTTTTTTTAGCGACCCCGTCGTGTCGCCCCTAGCGGACCGTTGCGCCGCCCCTTCCCCTCGCGGCTCCGCCTGCCCTTCCCTAGCGGCCCCCGCCGCCCTTCGATCGCGGCCCCGCCCGCCCTCTGCTACGCGGCCCCGCCGCCGCCCTTCGATCGCGGCCCCGCCGCCCTCGGCTACGCGGCCCCGCCGCCCTCTGCCTCGCGGCCCCGCCGCCCTCTGCTACGCGGCCCCGCCGCCCTCTGCTACGCGGCCCCCGCCGCCCTCTGCTACGCGGCCCCGCCGCCCTTCGATCGCGGCCCCGCGCCCTTTACCACGCGGCCCCGCCGCCCTCTGCTACGCGGCCCCGCCGCCCTCTGCTACGCGGCCCCGCCGCCCTTCGATCGCGGCCCCGCCGCCCTCTGCTACGCGGCCCCGCCGCCCTCTGCTACGCGGCCCCGCCGCCCCTGCTACGCGGCCCCGCCGCTCTCTTCGCTCGCGGCCCCGCCGCCCTCTGCTACGCGGCCCCGCCGCCCTCTGCTACGCGGCCCCCCCGCACTCTGCTACGCGGCCCCGCCGATCCGCCCAGCAGCAGCCGCCGCCGCCTGAGCCGCCGCCGAGCCGCCGCCGAGCCGTCGCCGAGCCGCCGCCGAGCCGCCGCCCGAGCCGCCGCCGAGCCGCCCGAGCCGCCGCCGAGCCGCCCGTGACGCCCGAGCCGCCCGCGCCGCCCAGCAGCAGCCGAGCCGCCGCCGAGCCGCCGCCGCCTGAGCCGCCGCCGAGCCGCCGCCGAGCCGCCGCCGAACCGCCGCCGAGCCGCCGCCCGAGCCGCCGCCGAGCCGCCCGCGCCGCCCGAGCCGCCTGCGGAGCCGTGCTGCTGTTTCCTCTGCTGCTGACCTACCCGCCTCTCCCAGCCCGGTGAGATTTTCAGCTGCTGTCATGGCCACCCCCAATGTTCTTACCTTTGACGCTGAGGGGAGGGCCATTGACTTTGCCGTCTGGATTGAAGACCTGCAGCTGTACTTACTGTGTGATGCGATAGATGAGGTCTCTCTCTTTGACTTTGTCTCTGGCGCTGTCCCTGCCCCACCTGCTGATGCTGACTCTGCCGTTCGCTCCAAGGTGGGCGACCCGCGATGCTGCTGCACGTCTTGCTGTGCGTCGCCACCTCCCTTCCTCTGAGCGTGCCCACTTTAGTCAGTGCAAGACCGCTCAGGCCTTGTACGACGCTGTAGTTGCACGCTACTCCTCCCCTTCCTCCGCTACCCTTAGCCGCCTCATGCTACCGTTTCTCTTCCCTGACCTCGCTTCCTTTCCCACTGTCGCTGACCTCGTTACCCACCTCCGTGCTAGTGACACCCGCTACCGCGCTGCCCTTCCTGCTGAGTTCCGCGCTGCGAACCCTCCTCCCATGTACATCACTCTCTACTTTCTCGTCACCCGTCTCCCTGAGTCCCTTCGTGTCGTTAGGGACCAGTTTCTCTCTGTCTGTCCCACCACTCTCACTGTCGACCTCCTTGAGGAGTCCCTGCTAGCGGCTGAGAAGAGTATTGTCGCTGTAGGGGCCTCTCGGGGTGACCCTCGCACCCCCTATCTTTGAGGGGTGTGGTCCTTCCCCCCTGCTGCCCTCTGTCGCCTCTGCCGCTGCGGCCGACCTCACTGGTTTTGAGTCGGTCGGCGCGGCGTCTGCCCCCAGCGGCAGACGCCGCGCTGGCAAGGGCAAGGGGGGCAAGGGAGCGGGTGGAGCTAGAGGGGGCGGTGGAGGAGGCGGTGGGGGTGGCGGGGGGAGTGGGGGGTGGCGGTGGGGGTGGTGGCGGGAGTGGAGGTACTGGTGGCGGCGGTGGAGGCGGAGGTGGCGGCGGAGGTGGTAGCGGAGGAGGCGGTGGGAGCGGTGGGAGCGACGGTCCTGGTGGGGGAGGTGGAGGTGGAGACGGGGGTGGCGGTGGAGGCGGGGGTGGCGAGTGGAGGCGGGGGTCGGAGTGGCTCGTCCCAGCGGAGCAGCTCGGGGGGGTGGTCAGCGCCAGCAGCAGCAGCAGCAGCAGCCGCAGCAGCAGCCACAGCAGCAGCAGCGCTCTCGCACCGTCCCCGCCCCTCAGCAGCTCCGTGAGTGGTACTCGCAGCGTCAGCGTGGTGGTGCGCTTGGTCCCTTGCCCCTACGTTCTCCGCACCGGTGACCGTGCAGGGGAGAGGTGTGGAGGCGCCCACACTGCCCGCCGCTGCTTTGGCCGCCTGACTGACGCCTGGCGTCAGCAGTTTCCGGAGGCAGCTGAGATCCCCCGCTGGGGAGAGCTGTCTAGGGCTGGTGTAGCTATTTATGATCTTGATTTTGATGCTATTCTCTCTGCTATGTATGCTGCGATTGGTAGTGATGAGGATGACTGTTACCGGTGTTTCCCGCCCGACCCGGGCATTGGTACTGCCGCGTCAGGTACTAGTGAGGCTGCTGCTCTAGGTGCCAGTGCGTCTGTGCTCTCAGGTGCTGGTGAGTCTGCCCTCTCAGGTACTGTGTCGGCTTCGGCCTCTCACACCTTCACCCTTGACTCTGGAGCGTCTCGCTCCTTCTTTCGGGACCGCACCACTCTCACGCCGCTGAGTCGGCCGGTTGCGGTGTCCCTGGCTGACCCCTCTGGGGGGCCTGTCCTGTCTCGCTTCTCCACTGTCCTCCCGTGTCCGGCGGCCCCCTCTGGCACCCTGACTGGTCTCTACCTCCCCTCGTTCTCGACGAACTTGGTGAGTGGTGCTGACCTCCAGGATGCGGGTGTCCACCAGTTCACCCCTGCTCGTCAGCGGGTGACCCACTGCACGGAGGCGGATACAGGTCGCCACCTGGCTACGTTTACACGTCGGCCAGGGTCGAGCCTGTACACTCTGACCACTGCTTCTCCTCCAGGTGCTGAGTCTGGTAGGGTCACTTCGTCTGGTCAGGTGTTTGCTGCAGCGTCCAGGTCTGGTCCTGAGTCTGCCCCCTGCTCGTGCCGTCGTTTGTCTCACGAGACCCTCCTCTGGCACCACCGCCTTGGCCACCCCCTCTCTGCTTCGGCTCAGAGGCATGGCCTCGCGAGTCCTTGTGTCTGGTCTTCCCCGGTCTCTCCCTCCCCTTCCTCCGGGCCCTGGCCCCACCTGTGTCCCCTGTGTCGAGGGGCGCCAGCGTGCTGCCCCTCACTCCTCCCAGTTTCCTCCGACAGAGGCCCCGTTGCAGACGCTTCACATGGATGTGTGGGGCCCAGCCCGCGTCCGTGGACAGGGTCAGGAGCGCTACTTCCTGCTGGTGGTTGACGACTACTCGCGTTACACCACAGTCTTCCCCTTGCGCAGCAAGGGTGAGGTCACTGCGGTGTTGATCGACTGGATCCGCGCAGCTCGTCTCCAGCTTCGGAGGAGCTTTGGCTCTGACTTCCCTGTTTTGCGTCTGCACTCGGACAGAGGCGGAGAGTTCTCCTCTGGCCTCCTGAGTGCCTACTGTCGTGCGCGAGGCATCCGTCAGACCTTCACGCTTCCGGACTCACCGCAGCAGAATGGGATTGCTGAGCGCCGCATTGGCATGGTCATGGACGTCGCTCGTACGTCCATGATGCATGCGGCTGCTCCCCATTTTCTGTGGCCGTTTGCGGTCAGGTACGCTGCGCACCAGATCAACCTCCACCCCAGGGTCTCTCGACCGGAGACCTCCCCAGCCCTGCTGTGGACGGGGAAGGTTGGCGATGCGTCGGCGTTCCGGGTCTGGGGATCTCGGGCGTTTGTTCGCGACCTGTCTGCGGACAAGCTATCCCCTCGTGCTTCTCCCTGCGTCTTCCTGGGGTTCCCCCCCGACGCCCCTGGGTGGCAGTTTTACCACCCCACCTCTCGACGTGTTCTGTCCTCCCAGGACGTCACGTTCGACGAGTCGGTACCCTACTACCGCCTCTTCCCCTACCGCACTCCGTCCCTCCCCCCACCCCCGCTCTTCTTGGTACCAGGTCCCCCCCCGGTAGTCCCCCTCCCCCCTCAGGGTCCTGCCCCTTCAGGTGTGTCCCAGGTAGACGCGGTCGAGCCTGTCGAGGTCACTGGTGACTCTGGTGCTGCTGCGGGAGCTGAGCCTGGGGGTGCGGAGTCTGGGGGTGCTGAGCCTGGAGGTGCCGAGTCTGGGGGTGCTGAGCCTGGGGGTGCTGAGCCTGGGGGTGCTGTGCCTGGGGGTGCTGAGCTGGAGGTGCCGAGTCTGGGGGTGCTGTGCCTGGGGGTGCTGAGCCTGGGGTGCTGAGCCTGGGGTGCTGAGCCTGGGGGTGCTGAGCCTGGGGGTGACGTGCCTGGGGGTGCTGTGTCTAGGGGTGCTGAGCCTGGAGGTGCTGTGCCTGGGGGTGCTTCGTCTCGCCGGGAGCCACTCTCCCCACAGGAGCTGCGTGAGTGGTTTGCCGGGCGCTGGAGGCGTGCTGCTGGTGCTGGTGGTTCTTCGGCTGCAGAGGGTACTGCTGCTGCGCGCCCCGCCGGCGCTCGTACTGTGGGTGCTGGAGCTGCTGAGTCTGAGAGTTCTCCTGGAGCTGGTCCTGCTGAGGGTGTTGGCGCTGAGCCTGCCGTTGGCGGCCCGACTGACAGTGCTCCTGGTGCTGCGGCTGGAGGTTCTGGAGCTTCTGGTGGTGCTGCTGGAGGTGCTGCTGGAGTGGGTGCTCCTGCCGGGGCTGCTGGTGCTGTTCCTGCTGTTTCTAGCGTCGCCGCGCGGCCCCGACCGTACTTCGTTCCGCTCCTGCAGCAGGTTCTTGGTCTTACACCTCCTCCTCCTCCCTTAGAGGGTCCGCAGCCTGTCCGGTCACAGCCACAGCTACAGCCTGCCTCCCCTTTGCCTGCTCCTTCTCCCTACGCTGGTCCGACTGGAGGTCTTACTGAGCGTCGTGAGCCTGCGTCTCGTCCTGTGTCGCCTGTTCGTACTGAGCGCGCTAGTGGTCGCGGGTCGCGTCAGCGTCCTCCTCCTGTCCCTGGCACGCACCGGATGTCACTGCGTCCGTCCACTGCTCCTCTGCGTGCCCCTTTGCCTTCTCCTCCTGCTTCCTCTCTTCCTGCTCTTGCCGACCCGGAGTCGGACGCTCTTCGTGCTGCCAGTCCTACTGTCACGCGTCTCCTGGCTACTGCTGTCACTGACCCCTCCTTCGAGTCGTCTGCTGCGTCTGCCCTTGTCACTGAGCTTGTCGACTTTGCTGCGCGCTGTCGTCTAGACTACGCTGCTCGTCTTGTCACTGAGTCTGAGTCCGCCTGTCCTCCGTCCGTCGGGGGTGAGTGTGCCCTTGGCACGGACGTCCTTGAGGACAGGCAGGAGGAGTTCCAGTGTCTGGCCGCCGCCTTCACCTCGTCTCGCGTCTGTACTGCTAGCCCCTGAGGGAGACCCGGATGCACCAGACATCCCGACTCCGCGCTCTTACGCGGAGGCGATAGAGGGTCCCTACTCCTCTCAGTGGCAGGCAGCTATGGATGCAGAGATGGCTTCCTGGAAGTCCACAGGCACCTACGTTGACGCTGTTTCCCCCTCCTGGGGCGAACATCGTCAGTGGCATGTGGATTTTCAGGGTGAAGCGGCCGCCGGGTTCTCCGCCTGTCTTCAAGGCGCGTTACGTGGCTCGTGGCTTCAGTCAGCGGCAGGGGGTTGACTACTTTCAGACCTTCTCCCCCACCCCGAAGATGACCACTCTTCGGGTTCTGCTACACGTTGCTGCTCACCGTGACTACGAGCTGCACTCTCTCGACTTCAGCACAGCTTTCTTGCAGGGCAGCCTGCACGAGGAGATCTGGCTGCGTCGCCCACCTGGCTTCACTGGGTCTTTCCCTCCTGGTACCCAGTGGAGTCTCCGGCGTCCAGTCTACGGTCTCCGCCAGGCGCCACGTGAGTGGCACGACACACTGAGGACTACGCTCGCGGCACTTGGGTTTGCTCCTTCCACTGCCGACCCGTCGCTGTTTCTGCGCACCGACACCTCTCTGCCGCCGTTCTACATCCTCGTGTACGTCGACGACTTGGTCTTTGCCACAGCTGACACTGCTGGACTCGCCTACGTGAAGTCCGAGCTGCAGAAGAGACACACGTGCACTGACCTGGGTGAACTGCGCAGCTACCTTGGCTTGCAGATCACCCGGGACAGAGCACGCCGCACCATTACCCTGACTCAGTCACACATGGTGCAGCAGGTCCTTCAGCGCTTCGGCTTCACGTACTCCTCGCCTCAGGCCACTCCTCTGCCTACTCGCCACTCGCTCTCAGCTCTGCCTTCGGATGAGTCCGTAGAGTCGAGTGGCCCGTTTGCAGAGCTTGTTGGCTGCCTCATGTACCTGATGACCCTGCACACGACCTGACCTCGCATACCCTCTTAGCATTCTCGCACGCTTTGTTGCTCCTGGGAGACACCGACCAGAGCACATGGCTGCAGCGAAGAGGGTGTTGCGCTACTTGTGCAGTACGTCGGGCATGGGGCTAGTGCTTGGAGGGCGCAGTCCAGTGGTCCTCACTGGGCACGCAGACGCTTCTTGGGCTGACGACCAGGCTACGCAGCGGTCGTCACAGGGTTACACCTTCAGCCTTGGTTCCGGCTCTGTCTCGTGGCGGGCTACCCGCTCGTCTTCTGTTCTCGGCTCCAGTTGTGAGGCTGAGATCTACGCTGGGGCTATGGCTGCACAGGAGTTACGCTGGCTCACCTACCTGCTGACCGACCTTGGAGAGCAGCCTCGTTCTCCTCCAGTCCTGTACGTAGACAACAAGGCCATGCTGGCCTTGTGTCGAGAGCAGCGACTGGAGCACAGAACGAAGCACATTGCTCTTCGTTACTTTCTTGCTCGTGAGCTACAGCAGCGTGGACAGCTGCGACTTGCGTACGTGGCCTCTGAGGCCAACACTGCTGATGTCTTCACCAAGGCACTTGCGCCTTGTGATCATCAGCGTTGCTGCACGCAGTTGGGTCTTGTGCCTGTCTTGCCTCACTTGCTCTCCTCTTGACCTTGCTTGTACTTTCGCATATATATACTCTTGTTCTTGTATATCTCTATATATGATCTTGCATGTGAACTGGCCTTGTGGCCTTTGAACTTGTGCTCGGAATGCGTGGTGACTTTGTGATCCACCCTGAGCTTTGCTTTGCTTTGCTTGACTGGTCTGTGACCCCTTGTTCTCCCCCACTTTGCCTATGGGGGTGTGTCAGAACTTATAGCTTACTTGTTTCTGTAGGCTATAGTGGGGTATCCCATAGGGGGTACAACCCAATTAGGGTTTCCTATTTGTACTCACTTCGTTCATAGTCATTCCATTTACCTCCTGTCTTTTATTTGCCCACTAGGCCCTTGTTCTTGCTAATTTTTGCACGCTAGGCCCTTGTTCTTTTTTTTTGCACACGCTAGGCCCTTGTTCTTGCTATTTTGCACACGCTAGGCCCTTGTTCTTGCAATTTTGCACACGCTAGGCCCTTGTTCTTGCAATTTTGCACACGCTAGGCCCTTGTTCTTTTTATTTTGCACACGCTAGGCCCTTGTTCTTGCTATTTTGCACACGCTAGGCCCTTGTTCTTTTTATTTTGCACACGCTAGGCCCTTGTTTTTGCAATTTTGCACACGCTAGGCCCTTGTTCTTGCAATTTTGCACACGCTAGGCCCTTGTTCTTGCCATTTTGCACACGCTAGGCCCTTGTTCTTGCAATTTTGCACACGCTAGGCCCTTGTTCTTTTTATTTTGCACACGCTAGGCCCTTGTTCTTGCAATTTTGCACATGCTAGGCCCTTGTTCTTTTATTTTGCACACGCTAGGCCCTTGTTCTTGCTATTTTGCACACGCTAGGCCCTTGTTCTTGATTTTTTGCACACGCTAGGCCCTTGCTCTTGCTATTTTGCACACGCTAGGCCCTTGTTCTTGCAATTTTGCACACGCTAGGCCCTTGTTCTTGCATTTTGCACACGCTAGGCCCTTGTTCTTTTTATTTTGCACACGCTAGGCCCTTGTTCTTTTATTTTGCACACGCTAGGCCCTTGTTCTTTTATTTTGCACACGCTAGGCCCTTGTTCTTGCAATTTTGCACACGCTAGGCCCTTGTTCTTGCAATTTTGCACACGCTAGGCCCTTGTTCTTGATATTTTGCACACGCTAGGCCCTTGTTCTTTTTATTTTGCACACGCTAGGCCCTTGTTCTTTTTATTTTGCACACGCTAGGCCCTTGTTCTTGCTATTTTGCACACGCTAGGCCCTTGTTCTTTTTATTTTGCACACGCTAGGCCCTTGTTCTTGCAATTTTGCACACGCTAGGCCCTTGTTCTTGCAATTTTGCACACGCTAGGCCCTTGTTCTTGCATTTTGCACACGCTAGGCCCTTGTTCTTGCAATTTTGCACACGCTAGGCCCTTGTTCTTTTTATTTTGCACACGCTAGGCCCTTGTTCTTGCAATTTTGCACACGCTAGGCCTTGTTTTTTTATTTTGCACACGCTAGGCCCTTGTTCTTGCAATTTTGCACACGCTAGGCCCTTGTTCTTGCAATTTTGCACACGCTAGGCCCTTGTTCTTGCAATTTTGCACACGCTAGGCCCTTGTTCTTGCTATTTTGCACACGCTAGGCCCTTGTTCTTTTTATTTTGCACACGCTAGGCCCTTGTTCTTTTTATTTTGCACACGCTAGGCCCTTGTTCTTGCAATTTTGCACACGCTAGGCCCTTGTTCTTTTTATTTTGCACACGCTAGGCCCTTGTTCTTGCTATTTTGCACACGCTAGGCCCTTGTTCTTGCAATTTTGCACACGCTAGGCCCTTGTTCTTGCAATTTTGCACACGCTAGGCCCTTGTTCTTGCTATTTTGCACACGCTAGGCCCTTGTTCTTTTTATTTTGCACACGCTAGGCCCTTGTTCTTGCTATTTTGCACACGCTAGGCCCTTGTTCTTTTTATTTTGCACACGCTAGGCCCTTGTTCTTGCAATTTTGCACACGCTAGGCCCTTGTTCTTTTTATTTTGCACACGCTAGGCCCTTGTTCTTGCTATTTTGCACGCTAGGCCCTTGTTCTTGTTTTTTGCACACGCTAGGCCCTTGCTCTGCTATTTTGCACACGCTAGGCCCTTGTTCTTGCATTTTGCACACGCTAGGCCCTTGTTCTTTTATTTTGCACACGCTAGGCCCTTGTTCTTGCTATTTTGCACACGCTAGGCCCTTGTTCTTTTTATTTTGCACACGCTAGGCCCTTGTTCTTTTTATTTTGCACACGCTAGGGCCTTGTTCTTGCTATTTTGCACACGCTAGGCCCTTGTTTTT